TCAGCCCGTCAATAATAATGACGCCGCCGGCCGCGGGGCCGGCGATACCGGGGATCGTCGCACGGGGCCCTGCAGAGATATCGGAAGCCAGACTGCCTTGCCGCTCTCGGGAGATGGAGGCCAGCGAGCTGCGAACATTGCCCGCGTTGATGCTTGTGAGGGCTCGGGCGGCTCCAGTGCCAAATCCAAGATGTCCAGATGCTGGCGCAGCTGCCCTGTGCCCCTCGAGGCTGGAGCGCGCTTTTTCGCGCGCCTCCGCGCGGCGGGGCAAGGTCCTTCAAGCGCCGCGGATGGGCCATGGTTATCCAGCTTCGTCGGTAGAGGCCTCTGGCCCTCGCCGCCGTCGCGCGCGTCGAGGGCGCCAGCGGCCCCGAGCCCTGGATAATGTGGATGGGCGGCGGGGCGCCCCCGTCGGTGGCTGCAGGATTCCGACGTCTGGCTGCGGACTGATGGCTTTCTGCAGGGGCGAATGGGGGCCCGCCAGCTTGAATGCCAGATGGTAAAACCAGGTCGCGGCGCCCGCCGAGGTAGGTGAGTCGCGAGCACGGCCGCCCACCCACTGCAAGCCCACATCGTCGATGAAGACGAGCGGCTTAAAATGCTTGCGCAGGTGCTATATCCGCGCGACAGCGCGGCGCAGCAGCGCGTGCGTCGCGGCGGTTGCGCGGGCGCGCGCAGCCAGCGGCGCCTGGGCCAGTCGAGGGCGCCGGCGGGGTGCCGGCGACGTTCGAATCATTCCTGGGGGGCAGCGCGCAGCTCGGACTGCCTCGAGGAGCCCCGAAACGACCGTGCGTTCACAACTCATGCGCATCCGCGCGCGCAGACGCTGCGCGCGCGACGGCCGCGGCCGCCTCGGCGTCGATGTCTAGGGGGGGCGCGGCGCCCAGGGGGGGGGGGGGCGGCGGGGCCGCGCGCGCCAGCGGCAAGGCGATGGCGGAAACGCCCCCGCTCAATCGAGACCGACCTCCGGATGCGCCCCAACATTCGCGGGGGATTATTGCGGGGGGCGATCTCGTTCCCGCCCCCATGCTATTCCAACCAAATGGGCCTCGCGCGCGCTGCCCAGCGGCGGGCCATGCGACGTTTTGCAGTCCCGGGCAGAATTACCAAAAGGAGCAGGCCGTCTTTCGAGATGGCGCCGAGCGACCTCGGGCGCAGCTTCAGCTGACCGAGGGCAGACTTCGAAAGGGGGCCCGTGGAGGCGGAGAGATAGCCGCATCTTGCAAGCGGATCGAATGATTCCAGCTCCGCTTTGACCCCCGCGTCTATCAGCACTACCGCCGCCGCCGCCCCTGACGGCGCCTTCCAAGTCGAAGCCGACAAGGACTTCGCCCGACAAGTCGGCAGGGGGATCCTCATCGCGCGCAGGAAGGAAGCGCTCGCAGACTTGACCTCGCGGAGGGAACGTCCGCAGCCGAGGCTAAAAGGCCGCGCTCGCAAGCGTATCTCGGGGGTCCGTGAGGGCGGGGGCCCAGACAAGCAAGGGCAAGTTCAGCGTCAACCTCCTCGAATGCACTGGGTCGGCCTGCCGCCATCTGCCCCGACGTGGAAAATAACAATCGCCCAGTACTTGGCCTCGCCTGATGGCGCGTCGCCGCGATCGCTGCTCCTCGCGCGGCGTGGAGGCGCTCCTCGAGGCTTCCCGAATCTAGAGCGAGATAGCCGCCGACGACGCGGGCTTGGCCTAGGGCGTTCAAGTTGGCGCGGCAGGAAGCCGCAGCCGCGGGGGTCTCGGCGCTCTCGCCTGCGAGTTTGGAGCCCGCGATCAAAGGAAGAAGCACTCAACGACTCCGCCCGGCCGATCCCAATAAGCCCGCCTTGCGATGTCGCGGCCCGGCGCTAAGATCGGGCCGCTCAGGGGGGCGCCGCCGGCGCGCCGGGCGGGGCGGGGGCCGCCGAACACTCCAAGACGCCGCCGCGGCATGCCCCCGCAGTCGGCCTCAAGGCGCCAGACGCGCCGCGATGAAATCTAACGTCTTCTTCGCGGGAGGCCCGCGAAGTGGCGCGCGCCCGCGCGCCGGCCCTGTGCCGGGAGAACGCCGCCGCGCAGCGCGGCGAGGGCTGCCTCGCTCCATGAATGGCGGGCAGCGCGGCGAAGTATCTGGATGCATGACGTGGCGCGACCTTGGTTGCGCCGCAATCTCTGGCTCGCGCCGGGCCTCGAAGCGCTGGCGAGTTCGTCGCGCCGCAGCTCATGTCGCCCACGGCGCGACTTGCACAAACACGACGTCGAACGCGCGCGGGGGGGGGGCATCTCCGTGCCCGCGGGACTTCGCGCTCGTCCAACGGCGGCGCTGAGGAGAGGCCGTTCTGGCGACCAGCCCAGCGGGGCGTTGCGAAGACAGGGATAGCCGCGCCAAGTCGCGACGAGGGTCGGGTCCTGACAAAAGGTCCTACACGCGAGCCCGTCGCGGCAAGAGACGAGCGTGGCGGCGCGAATCCTGGCCGAGGCCCCGACCTCGAGCCGCTGTCGCAACGACGCGCGGCGACTTTGCGCCCCCGGGGGCCGCGCCCGCGCGATGAGGCGCAGGCGCCGCAACCGAGCCCGTCGAGCGCGCGCCAGGCCGCGCCCGCAGCCGCAGCCGTGCCACCGGCGAACTAAGTGACTACTGGGGACGTTGCTCCTTTTGGCCCGATCGGCACGGCTGCCGCGGGATTTTCGATGGCCGACCGCGGGGCCGCCTCTGCTGCTGGAGGCTTCTGAGCGCTGGCAGCCCTGCAGGTACCGTATCCTGCAAGGCCGGCGCATCATCGGCATCGGGTGGTACGGCAATGCTGACGACGCCGTATGGCGGGGGGCCACCTGCAGCAGCTGCTGCACCTGCCCCTGCGCCTGGCGCACTGGTGGGCGCGTCTGCAGCTGCGCCGCAGGCCGCGGCGTCGGGGTCAAGCTTCTGCAGCGTGCCGAAGCATCCGGTGACCCCATCTGAAAACGCGCCCTCCGCGCACCAAGCTTCCTGTATCTTGGCAACCTGATCCGCCGACGCGTCGAGTCCTGCCGCGGCCGTGCGCAGCGAAGAGTCCTCGCCTGGCGCAGGCGTAGGTAAGTTGGCCGCGAGCTTGATCCCCGCGCTTTCAGTAGTCCATGGCTGACCGTGGCCAAAATCCCTTCGTCGTCCTCAGAATCATTGTCAAGAAGCGCCCGTTCTTCACTCAGGCCCGTGCAGAAGAGCCGCTGGTTGTCACGCTTATGCCTAAAACCATGGCACTTGCTGGCGACCTGGAGCAAATGCGCGCGCGCAGCCTTGTCCGACAAAGTATTGGCCCTGATTGGGTCCGCGTCATGTTGGGTGGGTTACTTGGGCGCCTTGAGGAGAGGGTTCTGAGATGCGCCAATAACACGGACTGTGGCGCCGAACCCCGAAAACCTCGCATTGTCGACACCCGCGGCTCCGCCCTTGGCGTCGGCAGCCTGGCCGCCCTTCTCCGCGGCGGCGTTGGCCTCGAGCTTGACGATGTCTCTGTCCTTCGGATCAAGCTGGGCCTTGGGCTTGTCCACGGCAGCCTGCTCTGTGTGGTGGCGGCGCTGCTGTGAGACGGGCTGGCGTTCGGACGCAAGAAGCCCACGCGCGCCACCGAGGGCCGTGCGAGCGCTCGCTCCGCAGATTGAACACTCAGTCTTGTTGGCGTGGTTCCGACAGCGTTCTCCTCTGCGCGGGCGAAACGCCACTTGCAGAGCCACGGCGTAACCCAGTCAAGGCGCCTTCGCTGGAAGACTACAGGGAAGGCTGCCGAACATCTGCGCGCCATCGAAAGCGAGCACCCCGCGTGTGCGATGGGCGGGTCGCGCTGCATGGCGAAGCATTGCGGGCTCGAACCACAATCGTTTGCAAGAAGAGAGGCGGTGTGGCCACCGTGAAGGCAGACTGCGGCTGCTCCTTCGCAGTGCCAGAATTGCATATCCTCGAGGTTCCCGCTAAAACAAGGAAGAGGAAAGGGAGGAGGAGGAGGAGGAGGAGGAGGAGGAGGAGGAGGATGAGGTTGAAGATGTGGAAGAGGAGGAGAAAGAGGAGGAGGAGGAGGAGGAGGAGGAGGAGGAAAAGGCGGAAAAGGAGGAGGACAAGAAGAAGGATGAGGAGGACGGGGGTCCCCAGATGGAGCCAGGAGGGTTCTGCCCGCACGTGTAGAAGTGAGGAAAGGAACGCTCCTCGGACAAAGTATCTGGAGGATGTCGTGTGCGTCCTTCCTCCTCGTGCCCGCCCCCCTTCGGCCTCCCCTCCTCCTTTCGCCCTCAGGCTTCCAGCACCGCAGCGTTTTTCAACATGTGGGCCTCTACTTACCCGTTACGAGAGCTCTTCATCTGGAGTGCTGGCGATTAACGCGTCTCCCGGCGGGGCCCACTTCCCCCCGTAGGTTCCTATCACGACGGCTTTCGGCCTGGCCAGGCGGGAGTTTTCCAGGGTTCTCCCTGGCGTGCAACCAGGGCAAAATATCCCCCCATAGAAATTCACAAAAGGGGAAACACATTCCCGGCCACCTTCATGCAACTGAAACTATACCACCGCACGAAATCACAGTGAACAAATCACCCCCGTACGAATTCTCATCACAGGGCCCCGATATGTCAAATTTGGCGAAGGTGAATGAACTTGCGTAGCAAGGATGAGGAGCGCTGATTCGACGTCCGATCGGGGCCTCATCACCGCGCTCATCGCTGCTTCGTCGCGACGACTTACGGCGCAACAGATTTGCCCCGATTTCGTTTGGCAGGCAACTATGCCAAGGATCTGCAAGCGCGTGGTGGCGGCCAAAAATGTCGCTGTCAAGAGACAGCGCCGGTTTCGCCCTCGGACAGGTGCAAAGATACCGCTAAACCGTCACCAGATGAACAGAATGTCGTAACGTAGGTGTAAAGGCCCGCATCGGGCTCTACACTGAGGTCGAAGGCGGGGGGGGAGGCGCGCGAAAAAAAAACTACCTTCGGGGGTCTGGGCCCTTCTCCTGCTCCTCTCCCCTCATTCTCCGCCCATCTTCCCCCTCCTCCTTTTCACGCTGCGCACCTTGGGCAACTTATCTGGAGGGTATCGCAGGTGCTCACGGCCTCCATCGTGCCCACGTGTGACCTGCCAGCAACGGCGCATCCTCCCTCATCCTCCCTCCTCACTCTTGCTGTCGCCCCTGCTCCTGCTCCTGCCCTTCGCATTCCAGCAGCCCCCCACCCAATCCTGCTGCTGCTGTTGCTGCTCGTCCTCTTCATCCTCCTCCTTCTCCTCCTCTTCTCTCCTCATTCTTCTTATTTCATTACTAGTATGATTATATTCAGTATTGTTATTATTATTATTATTATTCGTATTATTCTGATTCGTATTATTCGTACTAGTCTTCTTATTATCATCACTCTCTTTGGTACTACCAATACTGTCTTTATTCTTACTATGATTAGTATCTACTATTACTCGTATCATTCGCTTTGTTATTGTTATGGTTGTACTTATTATTATGACTCTTATTCGTAGAACTATCAACAAATATCAGTATTGCTGTTAATATTCCTCTTCTTCTCCTCCTCCTCTTCCTCCTCCTCCCTCGATGCAATGTGGGACCAGTCGGTCCACAGCGCTGGCTCGCTGCACCAGCCTGCGGAGCCGAAATATTTCCGGCTGGGCCGTCCTCCCCCCTGCATCCGAGGGGGAGCAGCGTGCGCAGTATGCGGAACAGGCAGAATCGAGGAAAGATGAAGAAGGAGAGAGGAGGGACACTGCCGAGGAATGGGGAGGCGGAAGATGAATGCGAATTGACTAAATCCGCCACCGTGCTCCATGGCCCGCTGATGCGTGGTAGAAGCTGGCCGGGCAAAAACAGGAAACGCTGATGTTGTCCGATCGGGTCGTACGACGAGAAAAACGACAAGAAGGAGGATGAGAAGGGGGACCGCATGGAGGATGACGGGAGCGCGAGGAGGGCCAGGATAACTACGAGAAGGAATACAACGAAGGACGATGCGGAATAAAACGAGGAGGGCGAGCAACATAAGGAGGACGCATGAATGACGAGGATGGGTGGACAGGAGAACGGCACCGTGGAGAACGAGAACGGCAGCATTGATGAGGAGAGGGAAGGCAGGATGACCTGGAGAAGGACGAAGGAGGACGAGGCTCCCGATAAAGGGGGAGGGCGACGAAGGCGAGTAAGACAACGCGGGAGGGGACACGGACGGCCAGGAAGACGACTAGGAGAACGACAGCGGAAGAACAGCGTGGAGGACGATGAAGAAGACAGCTGGTCCCCGCGAGCTGAAGTATTACATGTTAGCCAGCGTGAACACCAAGCATTGTGACTATGCCAATATAGGTTGTGCGATCTATGTGGTGCAATCGACGTGGTACAATATAAGTGGTGTGATCTACGTGGTGCAATCGTTGTTGCGGAATCTATGCTGCGCCATGCATGTATGGCAGTCTATGTGGTGCAATATACGTGGTGCAGCAAATAAGGAGCAACCTATGTGGTGCAATCTATGTGATGCAATCTAGGTGCGCGGTGCAATTGATATGGTGCGATGCGTGTTGCGCAGTAGATGTGGTGCAATCAATCGATGTGGTGGCATAAAGCTGCTGCAATCTATGCGGTGCGATCCCTGTTGCGCGATGCTGATCACACCCGTGAAAATGATTGCGGCGGCAAACATATCCACCGAAGCTGGTGGCCGATTGAGCGTAATTTGTTTCGGCGTTGGCCTGGGTTGTAGCAGCGTTGACGCCCTGGGGGAGGCAAGGCAAATCAATCGTGGGCAGTCAATTCACGACTCAAATATTTACCGCAATCAGGCAATATCTTAGCCGACCTCTGGTATCATCACTCCAAACAAAAAAGCTGTGGCCACTAAATCGCTTGGCGAAAAATGCAACCATGTGCAGTTCTGAATACGATTGTTGTGAGTATCGCCTTCGGTGGATATCCTACTGTGGCCGCGAAGCGCGTGAGAGGTGTGAAATGGGGAGGGGCCGCTACGCTGGCGCTGCCGACGGGGCCGTAGATAGAGCCCCCTACGGGGCCAAGGAATGTGCGAGGGGTGTGCCAGCATGTGTGAGGGGCCGCCATGCGGGAGCTGCCACCGGGACCCCATGCGCCGCCGTTTCGTGCCCATTTCCTCCCCAACTCTTTCAATCCCCTTTGTGTCTGTTGCGCGTTGCGTTTCCGCCCGGCTGGCCCGCAATGGCCTAGACCCTGGGCCCCGCCGTTTTGTGTCCATCTCTTTGCCTCTCTGTCTTTGCCAACATGTGTGCGCCGAAATGGGTGGCGGAGACGCATTTGGGCTGCGCCACTGGGAATTTCGGTGGAACTCCCTACGGGGCAGCGGAACGTGGGAGCGGTGTGCCGACATGGTTGGCAGGAACGCATGCGAAATGCGCCACTGGGACCTTCGGTGGAGCTCCCTGTGGGGCCACGAAACGTGTGAGGCGTGTGCCGAAGTAGTTGGCGGGGGCGCATTCGAACTGCGCCACTGGGACCTCCGGTGAAGGCCCAAGATGGCTCCAAGATGTCTCCAAGATGGACCTTTATGCCCCCAAGATGGCCCGAAACGGCCTCAATATTGCCCAAGACGGCCCAAGAGGCCTCCAAGACGCCTCCAAGAGGACCGTCAGGAAGGCCCGACCATACCACAGTGATGTGCTTTGTGTCTGTCTGTCTGTCTGTATGTCTGTCTGTATGCATGTATGTACGCATGTCTGTCTGTCAATATGTCCGTCTGTCTGTCTGTCTGCGTGCATGCATGCACGTGTGTATGTATGTATGTATGCATGCATGCATGCATGCATGTCTGTATGTATGTAGGCAGGTAGGCAGGTAGGGAGGTAGGTAGGTATGAATGTCAGTATGTCTGTCCGTCTGTCTGTCTGCCTGCCTGCCTGCCTGCCTGCCTGCCTGCGTGTCTACCTGCCTGCCTGCCTGCCTGTATGTATGTATGTATGTATGTGTATATATATATATATATACAAGATATTGTTGGCTCGCTTCGCTTCGCCACAGCATCTTGCCCCTCATCCTCATCCTTGGCGCAGGAGCGCGGGCCTGGTACCTCGCCGCGCTATGTGGTCACAGAATGTGGCGAGCTCGTGAACTTTCATTGCCATAGGGGTGTAAACTTGATGTTTGTCGCGAGCTCGACGGCTCAGGGCTGCGTGGGTGTGTTTTTGTAAGGAGTGAACATGTTTGGAAGTGAAGAACCACCCTACGGGCCGAACCAATTTGTGGTTCACGTCGACGGCTGTTTTTTTTCTTCGGGGCCCCGGATGGGAGCGTCTGGCGCTCTGCGGGCACGCTGGCGCCGAGGGGCCGTCGTGTGCGTGCGTGTGTGTGTGTGTGTGTGTGTGTGTGTGGGTCTGTTTTCGTAAGGAAAGAGCATGTCCCGGGGCGCGGAACCACCCGACGGGCCGTACCAATTTTTGGTTCACGTCGACGGTTGCTTGTTCTTTTTCGGGCCCGGGATGGGGGGCGTCTGGCGCCCTCCGGGCACGCCGGCGTCGAGGGGCTGTCGTGGGTGTGGGTTTTCGTAAGGAAAGAGCATGTCCTGGGGCGCGGAGCCACCCAACGGGCCTAACCAATTTTTGGTTCACGTCGACGGTTGCTTGTTCTTTTTCGGGCCCGGATGGGGGGCGTCTGGCGCCCTCAGGGCACGCCGGCGTCGAGGGGCTGTCGTGGGTGTGGGTTTTCGTAAGGAAAGAGCATGTCCCGGGGCGTGGAGCCACCCAACGGGCCGAACCAATTTTTGGTTCACGTTGACGGCTTCGTTTTTGACGCAAGCCAATGAAACCAGTGATGGAGGCACCTGCAGCAGCAGCAAACAAAATATGTGAGGAACTGCGGCGATTTGTGGAAGTCGTCCGCCATGATCTCAATCGGCGTATGGGGAGGCGGAACATCAGCGGAATCCTGGGGGTCAAAGGCTACGGAACATCAACCGCAGCCTGGCGCGTCCGAAGTGTATACGTCGTCTCTGTTCGTGGAGGCCTCATGGATGGCTTCTCGCGGACGTCCTGGGGGCCTGTTGGGGCCTCTTGGGGGCCTCCTGGGGCTGTGTTCGAGCCTTCTGGGGGGTATCCTGGAGCCGAGGGGCCGAAATGTCGGGTCGGATCCTGTCGTGGAGCCTTTCTTGGAGCCGTCTTGAGGGTCTCCAGGGCCGTCTTGGGAGTCTCTTGCGCCGTCTTGGGCCGTCTGGGGGCCGTGTGGGGCGTCTTGGAGGCCTCTTGGGCCGTGTGATGACGAACTGGGGCATCTTAGAGCGATCTGTGGGCGTCCTGGAAAGCTTCTGGGGCCGGTCGGACCAGCTTGGCGGTAATTTCAGGCATTCTCGGGGTTGTCTTGAGCCCGTCCGGGGGGGTGGCGAAGTAGGTGACGCCCATCCGGGGGGGGGTCCCTTATCATTTGATAGGGAAAGGGATATATCTATACATATATATATATATATATATGTATGTATGTATGTATGTATGTATGTATGCATGCATGCATGCATGCATGCATATTTATTTTATATATATATATATATATATATATAATAATATATAATATATATATATATATATATATATATATATATTATATATATCCTCTTCCTATATTTTTACAAGCCCGGGCGGCCGCAAAACCCCGCACCCCCCCCCCCCCAAAAAACCGGACTCCAGGGATCCTGGGGCTTTGGGACCCTCCGGACGCCCATTGAAGCGGTCCCGAGTGCCTCAAGAGCGCTCCAAGACAGGCACAAAGCGCTCCAAGACGCCAAAGATAGCCCCAAGACAGCCTCAGGAGCCCCCAAGACGCCCCAAGCGGCCCCAAAGAAGCCTCCCAAGACGGCCCCGGGAGGCCGAAATGGTCAATTTTCCAATGTGTTTTTCGATGTTTTCTGCTTTCTCGCCATTTTAGCTTTCCGACGCTCCAAGACAGAACTAGAGGCCCTCAAGAGCGCCCCAAGATGGCCCGGGCGGCCCCCAAAACGGCCCCAACACGGCCCCAAGACGGCTCTGGAGCGCCCCGAAACAGCCCAAGAGGCGCCCAAGAAGGCCCAAGAGGGCCCCGAGAAAGCTTCAAACGAGCCCCCACAGGGCGATCAAAAGTTCAAACATCTAACTTTCCGCCCCAAGTGGGCCCCAGGAGGCCCCAGGAGGGCCCCAAGAGGCCCCAAGAGGCTTCCAAAGGCCCCGAGGACTCCCAAAAAGAACCCACGAGGCCCCAAAATGGCTCTCCAAAAGGCAGCCAAAACGGCCCCCCAAGAGGCTTCAAAACTGCTGAATCGCCCCACTTGACCGCCACCTCCGGAACGGCTTCGCTGCGCTGCTCCGTTGTTTGCCAGACAGTGGCATCCCACGCAAAACACCAAAATGCTTGAAATCCCGGGTTCGCAACCAAATTCCCGGGAAATCGGCTGCGAACCCGGGATTCGGCACATTTCCCCGGAATTCGGTAGATGTCCTGAGCATTTCCAGGATCCGGTACGTTGCCTGCATGCTTGCTGCCCTATGCCCTATCGCATCCCAGAATAATCGTTCCATGGAGGTTTCACGAGGGCCCTTCCAAGTTATTAAGGAAACATTGTTTTCCACACGTGTTCGCACACATGCATCCGTAGCCGTTGGCTT